TTAAGTCTGGCACGAGAGCCGCGACCGTCCAGGAAGAAAGGGGCCGCTGGCCAACACCCTCCAGCTCGGCAGCGCGTCCTCTTCCGGAACGCCGCGGCATCGCCGAGGCGAACTGGGCGAGCTGTACCGGCTCATGGGCGGCATCGCGCGCGCGCGGACGCAGGGGGCGGGGGGGGGAGACTGGTGGGAGGGATACTTGCTTGAGCAGGGACCGACCGTCCCGGCATCCCTATAGGCCTACCACGATATGTCCTCAAAACCCAAGAATGTTCGAAGAACATGGTTCTTAGAACATAAACCCGACGTGTCACAGCAGGACAGTCCTAGGCAAACATGTTCTAAGAACATCTCGTGGAAACCACAAAAGGTTCTTAGAACACTGCTAGGTACGCCTATAGGGACGCCAGGACGCTTCGCCAGTGTTTGACCTGCGGGCTGTACAGGCTTGGACAGAAGGTTGCTACGGATCAAGATCGCACAAGGCCCTAAAGGACAACTACGTAGCAAGCGGGCCACGGGCCAATCTCGGACCTGAAAACGCAACAAAAACAGCGCCCAACACGGAAAGAAACCGTCGATATCCAAAGCGAAGCAACAAACGCACCAAGGGTTATGTTGCTCCCATCGTGCTTGAGGACCACATCCCAGAACTAAATTCGAGCACCCAGAAAAGTGTCGAAAGTGTCGAAACAGTGTCGGACGCATCTCCCAAGGCTCGACACGTGAAAACCTTGGAGTTTCGGTACATATTGGGTGCTCGAAATTCTTTCCGGTGGTCAAGGCTAAAGTAGGTTGGAACATCATAAACCAAGGGCGTGTTCATATCATCTGAGGTCGGGGCCCCGCCCAGGGGGCCGCCCCGACGAGGTGGCCGCCCAAAGACCAGCAAATGTATGCGGTGCGCCGGGGGGGGGAAGGGAGAAGGGGCGGGCCTTCTCAGAAGGCTCGGATGTCCCCCAGCCTTCTGAAGAAGTTTTCTAAGCCTTCCCCGAAGACCCACACCCCCGACCCCCGACGTCAGGATATGTTCACGACGTCGACCCTCAGGGGTCGCGACCCATTCCCCAGGACCGATGTTTCATCCTGAGTCGTTTTTTGACGGCCCCGAAGGCCAATAAGGGCCCCTCGAGGCGGAGAATAGCGAAAACCTCCTGTCGTGATTTTTGTCATGGCTCGAGGGGGTCTGGGTCAGAGGGCCGCCGCCTTCTGAGAAGGCCTTCTTCCCCGCCCGCCCCCTGGCGGCGCCCTGAGCTCCGCCCCCGGCGAGCCTCGCCGCTCGCGGAGTGTGTGGGGGGTGGGGCACGGGCGCTGGCGCCGGCAGGGAAGTCCGCTGCGACGGTCTCTGAATCATCGGCGAGCGAGTGGGGGAGGAAGTTTAGGGCTCGAGGCTCGAGGTTCGAGGTTCGAGGTTCTCGGGCGTGTCCGTCGGGTCTGGGCGGCTATCCAGCCTCGGGGTGGCTGCCAGCAGCTGCGCCTCGCTGAGAGCGCTCCAGGGGTGCCAGGATCGTCCCGAGCGGCGGCCGGAGATCCGAGTTATGACCCCAAAACCACATTCGGCGGCGCGCACGGGGGGAGGAGGAGGAGGAAAAGGAGGAGGAGGAGGAGGAGGAGGAGGAGGAGGAGGAGGAGGAGGAGAGAGGAGGAGGGGGGGAGGGAGCGTGGAGGAGGGGGAGGAGGAAGGAGTGGGAGGAGAAGAAGGGAGGAGGAGGCGGGGAGGGAGGAGGAGGAGGAGGAGGAGGGAGGGAGGAAGGCGCGGGCCTTTCCCTATCCCCCGTTCGGGGAGGCATAATGGGCCTCTACTCGGTGGAGGTGGCCCCCCCGGTGGTGTCGGTGTCGCTTCTCCTTCGCCCCATCCTCCCCCTGCTCCTCCTGCTCCTCCTCCTCCTCTTCCTCCTTCTCCTCCTCCTCCTCCTCCTCCTCCTCCTCCTCCCCCATTCCTGTTCCTTACAAATGACTTCTTCCTGTCGCACCCCGAAGCCAGTTTTTAGGGCGGTCTGGGTGCTTCGCCTGAGACTTCCTCACCATGAATGGCCCTGAAGCTTCCACATTGAAAGCAGTTTCACAGATGGGGGCGGGTCATTTTCAAAATGTGGCTCTCGCCAAAGCGCTGCGCAGTTTCGTGTTGAACATTTGCAAGGGCTTCACGGATTGAGGGCGGTTGCTTGTCATAATGTTGCTCTCGCCTAAACGCCGCGCGCAGTAGTTATACAGATTGCAAGAGTTTCGCAGATTAATGGCGGTTCCTGTTGTAAACTGTGGCGCTCGACTTAGCGCCGCGCACATTCGTGTTACAACTTTGCAAGAGCTTCACGGATTCCCACGATCAGCGTACCAGACATGGCGCTTTGGAAGGATTCAGGAACATGAGTGTACAACAATTACGTTGATTCGCGGTGTTGAAGCCCAAAGAATGGCGTTTTGGCACGATGCAAGATCGCCAAGACGCATTTGTCAGGTTGATCCGTGACGTTCAAGTTCCGAGAACGATGTTCTGGCATGCGTTGGCCAAACGGTTGTTTTGCAACGAGACAATTCCCTCAGTGGAGATAAACCCTTGTAGGGGCCTGTGATAAGGGGAGCCTAGAGTGAGGGTTTATTCCAACAACGTTGATGACCCTTGGGTTTACACTGGTCCTCCTCCTCCTCATCCTCCTCCTCCTCCGTCTCCCCCTCCATCTCCCCCTCCCCCTCCTCCTCTCCTCCTCCTCCTCCTCCTCCTCCTCCCTCCTCCTCCTCCTCCTCCTCCTCCTCCTCCTCCTCCTCCCCCCCCTCCTCCGCCAACTCCTCCCACTCCTTCTCCTCCTCCTCCTCCTCCTCTCCTCCTCTTTTCTCCTCCTCTCCTCCTCCCCCTCCTCCTCCTCCTCCTCTTCCTCCCCGCCACAATTACTCAATATGATACTACTCTCCTCCTTCCCGATGACGGGTTAGGAGTGTTCGCCCCCCCCCCTCCCCCCCCCCCACGCGTACTGTCTTTCTTACACCCAGGATTCCCCGGAGTGGGGTTGTCGCCTGCATTGTTTTCGAAATGCTCCTTTCGCTGAGGCGCTGGCCTCATTGTCGGGCCCCGCTCGTTCCGAATCGTGCTCCCGCTGCAACGCTGGCCTCATTTCCGTGCTTCTGCTCGTTCCGAATCGTGCTCCCGCTGCAGCGCTGGCCTCATGTCCGCGCTTCCGCTCGTTCCGAATCGTGCTCCCGCTGCAGCGATGGCGTCATTTCCCGTGCCACGCCACGCCATGCAATGCAATGCTAGGTTGCGTTCCGCTGCGCGATGCCATGCCTTCAGCTGAAGCTGTGATATGCAGTGCTTACGTGCCACGTCGTGCTATGCCATGCTACGCTTTGATCTTCACCACCACGCGATGCAATGTTTTGTTCGGGGCCGCTGTGCGATGCCATGCTTTGCGTTGCAAAGCTTTGTGATGCAAGTCTTCACTACGCCACGCCACGCCATGCTGTGACATACTACGCTTTGCGGTGCTCTTCTACGCCATGACATGCTGTGCTCTACAATGCATCGCGTACCCTTTCGGGATCATTGCCCTGCTCGACATCCGACTGTGCGAGTAGAGAGGGGATCTACGCCATGGTAAGGGAGAAGAGGGAGGGGTAGGATGTCAGATATGACGCGAGCGCACCTAGCTTGCCCCTCCCCCTCCTCCTCCTCCTCCTCCTCATCCTCCTCCGCCTCCTCCTCCGCACCTCCTCCTCCTCCTCCTACTCTCTACTCATCCTCTTCCTGACCAGCCACCTTCCTCTCTCCTCCGCTCCTACCTCCACTTCTCTCCTCCTCTCCTTCCTGCCTCTTCCGACTCCTCCTCCTCCTCATCATCCTCCCCTCCTCCTCCCTCCTCCTCCCTCCTCTTGCTCCTCCTCTTTGCTCCTCTCCTCTTGCCTTCTCCTCCTCGTTGCTCCTCCGCCATTAATCCTTCTCCTCCTCCCTCCGCCTCCCCCTCCACATTCCCCCGTCCCCCTCCCCCTCCCTCTCCTCCCTCCTCCTCCTTCTCCTCCTCCTCCCCCTCCTCCTCCTCTCCTCCTCCTCATCCACCATCCTCCCCCGTCCATCTCCCTCCTCCTCACCTCCTCCTCCCTCCTACCATCCTCCTTCATCCCTCCTGCTCTCCCCCCGTCCTCCTCCTTGTCCTCCTCCTCCTCCTCTCCTCCTCTCCGTCCTCCTCCTTCTCCTCCTCCTTCCTCCTCCTCCTCCTCTCCTCCTCCTCTCTTCATCCTCTCCTCCGCCTCAGCATTCCTCCCACTCCTCCTCCTCCTCACCTCCTCCTCCTTGCTCCTCCTCATCCTCCTGCTCCTCCTCCTCCTCCTCCTGCTCCTCCTCCTCCTGGGTGCGTGCACACCACCGATCCTGGGCCCACCCCGGCCAAGAGATCCTTCGCCCCAAACGCCCCAAGAGATCCTTCGCCCCAGGGCTGGAAACACTGGCGGGGGGTGAAGCGAGCCAGAGACAGTAGGGATGCGGTCGACAGGGCTGGAACGCAAATAGAGAGAGCCTGGCCAGGGCTGCTGGAAAGATTGGAAGGGCTGGCCCCAGTCATTTCTTCCCAGCTTCCATGTAGAAGCCCACCCCGGGAAGTCTGGAAGGGGAGGAGAATCTCGTCGCCTCCCTCGCGAGACGCCCGACCGCCCGTAGGACGTGCCCAACCCAGGAGGAGGAGGAGGAGGAGGAGGAGAACGAGGAGGAGGAGGCGGAGGCGGAGGCGGAGGCGGAGGCGGAGGGGAGGCGGAGGAGGCGGAGGAGGAGGAGGAGGCGGAGGAGGAGGAGGAGGAGGAGAGGAGGAGGCGGAGGAGAAGGGGGGAGGAGGAGGCGGAGGAGGAGGCGGAGGAAGGAGGAGGAGGAGAAGGGGGGAGGAGGAGGAGGAGGAGAGAGGAGGAGGAGGAGGGGAGGAGGAGGAGGAGGAGGAGGAAGAGGAGGAGGAGAAGGGGGGGATGAGGAGGAGGAGGAGGAGGAGGAGGCGGCGCACCGCGCCCCACCCCACTGGGGGGCCCGCCCGAGGTCCCGCGCCACGTCGGCGGCCACCGCGATGCTCTCGCAGCCGGACTCGTCTATGCCGCGTGCCTGGCGGCGGTCGGAGGCTGCCCCGAGGGGGGGGCGACGAGGGAGGATGCGCGAGGAGGAGGGTCGAGGCTCCTCCCCCTCCCTATCCTCCTCCTCCTCCTCCTCCTCCTCCCTCCTCCTCCTCCTCCTCCTCCTCCTCCCTATATCTCCTCCCCTCCCTCCTCCCCCTCCTCCCTCCTCCTCCCGTCTCTCTTCCTCCTCCTCCTCTTCCTTCTCATCATCATCATCATCATCATCATCATCATCATCATCATCATCATCATCATCATCATCATCATCATCATCATCATCATCATCATCATCCTCATCCTCATCCTCATCCTCATCCTCATCCTCATCCTCATCCTCATCATCATCAGCAGCAGCATCATCATCATCAGCATCGTCATCATCAGCAGCATCATCATCATCAGCAGCATCATCATCATCCCTTCTCCGTCGCCTCTTCCTCCTCCTCCTCCTCCTCCTCCTCCCGTCTCCGCCTCCTCTGCCTTCAATCAGCATCAACCTACTCCCTCAAATCAGAACGTAGAGGACATGAGACGAAGCCAGGAAGAGGCTCAATTCGGGTGAAGATCCAGCGGCTCTACAGGATATCTAGGGCGTCGCGGACTTCTCAGAGCGCTGCGGAACGCTTCAGGACGGAATCAGTATCGTCCGAGCCTCGTCCTGGGACAGCAGGATGAGTTTGCGAGTTTGTGCGCGTGTAAGAAAGAGAGAGAACGAGAGAGAGAGAGAGAGAAACAAAAAAAAAAATATTGAAAGATAAAAAGAGAGAGAGAGAGGGATATAGAGAGAGAGAGGGCGAGAGAGAGAGAGAGAGAGAAAGAGAGAGAGAGAGAGGGAGGGACAGGAGGGAGAGAAGGGGGAGGCGTCTTGCGCACGTGTTGGGGCAATGCTTACCTAATCCTTCTGCAAGCGGAGCCAGCCTCGATCCGAAGAGCTTTGCGAGGGACGGACCGTCAACCGACACCGTCACAGAGCTGCATCGGCGTGCCTGGATCGTCCAGCCTCACCAAGAAACGCAAATTCTGGTACACGCACACACACATTCACACACACACGCACACACTCGTGCACGCACACACGCACGCACGCACGCACATACACACACACACTCACACATACACATACGCAGACACACACACACACACACACACACACACACACACGCATACACACACATGCACGCACGCACGCACGCACGCACACACTCACACACGCACAGACACACCAGACGCAAGCACGCACGCACGCACGCGCGCACGCACGCACGCGCGCACGCGCGCACGCACGCCCGCACGCACGCACGCACGCACGCGCGCACGCACGCACGCACGCACGCGCGCACGCGCGCACGCACGCACGCACGCACGCACGCACGCGCGCACGCACACGCAAACGCTTACGTTCACGCACGAGCACACGCACATGCACGCGCGCACGCACACGAACACGCACACGCACACGCACCCGCACACGCACACGCACACGCACACGCGCACGCACGCGCACACGCACACGCACACGCACACGCACGCGCGCACGCGCACGCAAACGCGCACACGCACACGCGCCGCACCACGCCAACGCACGCACGCGAGCACGCGCGCACGCGCGCACGCGCGCACACGCACACCCGCCACACGCGCCACACGCGCAACACGCACACACGCACACACGCACGCCCGCACCACGCCACATAAGTATGCAAACACGCACACACGCACACACGCACACACGCACCAAACGCACACACGCACACACTAACACCCGAACACACGCACACACCGCACACAACGCACACACGCCCACACACGCACACACGCACCCACGCACCACACGCACACACGCACACACGCACACAACCCACACAACGCAACACGCGCACACACGTACACACGACACACGCACAAACGCACACACGACAACACGCACGCACGCACACACGCACGAACACACGCACACACACGCACAGACGCACGCACCCACACACGCCACACACGCACACACGCACACAAGCAACACACGCACACACGCCACTCACACGTACACACGCAACCACGAGCACACGCGCAACACGCACGCACACACGGCACACAAGCACACACGCACCGCACGCACCACACGCACGTATTGCACACACGCCGACCACACGCAAACAACGCACAGACGCACGCACGCACCAACACGCTACACACGCACACACGCACACACGCACTCACACGTACACACGCACAACGCGCACACGCGTACACACGCACGCACCAGACGCACATACGCACACACGCACACACGCACACACGCACACACGCACCACACGCACACACGACCACGCGTCACACACGCAACACACCCACACCCGAACCACACGCACACACGCAAACAACACGCAACACACGGCACACACGCCACACACGCACACACGCTACACCACGCACACACGCCACACGACACACGCACACACGCACACGCGCACACACACGCACACACGCACACACACACGCACACACACGCACACACGCACACACGCACACACGCACACACACACACACACGCACACACACACGCACACACACACACACACGCACACACACACACACACACGCACACACACAAACACACACACACACACACGCACACACAAACACACCAACACACAAACAAAACACAAACAAAACAAACGCAAACGCAAACGCACGCACGCGCAAACACACACTAAACACACACAACACACACACACGTAATGTCTGTGAGGTCCGCACGGAGATCTTGGATCGACGCTGGACCTGGCGGAGCGCGCAAGGGAGGCCTTTCCTCGACAAGAGAGAGACAGAGAGAGAAAGAGAAAGAGAGAGAGAGAGAACAACAACAACAACAACAAAGAGAGAGAGAGAGAGAGAGACACTGAGTGTTGGCGGCGAGCCCAAGGGAAAATGAGATGGGGCGGGCCTCTTCAGAAGGCTCGGAAGTCCCCGAAGGCATATAACAACCTCCCAGAAGGCCTTAGGGTTTCTGAGAAGTCCCGCCGCCTTCTGAGAGGGCTTTCTCCTTTTCATTTCCCCCATCGCTTCCCGCCAGACGAGAAAGAGACACAGGAAAAAGAGAAACTAAACACAAAAAAAAGAGAACGTGGCCGCGCGGGAGCGGGCGAACGAACAGGGGGGGAGGGGGGGAAGCGAGAAGAGGCGGAGGTCTCCCTCAGGGCTAGAGAGCAGAACATCCACCCTCATAATAAACACCCCGGCAAGCGAAGCCGTTCAGCGAACGCACCCAAAGAAGGATTAGAACAGGACAGGGCTGTTTAATGAACGCCCGGGGCCGTTTAGTAAACGCCAAGTGTGGGAGTCGGGTTCGTTATTTTTCCCTTGAAGGGCGGCCCTGAACCACGATACTGCTAGACAGGATTTGGAGAACCCCACCTGAAGAGACCGAGCACTGGAGACTGCTCCTCGAGGCCTCCTAGATGGGGTCGGAGTAGACGGGGATCGGAGATCGCGCCGCATCGCCGATGCATCGGCGACGCCAGCGTGGATAAAATCGGGCTCCATGTCGAGCCGCATCGCCGATGCATCGGCGATGCGGCGCGATCCTTCGACCCTATCTGCTCCGACCCAAGCTCAGGGGCCTAGAGAGCTCCGACCCCCCACGGCTGCAGCCGTCCGGGGCGTGCCAGCGACCTGGCTTGCCGGTGTCCGCGTGTACGAGGCCCTGGCCCCCACCTACCCCCTACCTCCACCCCGCCAAAGTGACCCCGAATGTCCCCAAGGGCCTCCTGGCGGTCCAGGAGCGCCCACGACTGCACAAGGCATCCGAGGAGGCCTCAAGCGAGGTCTGCCGCCTGATGGGCCGATTCTCCACCACCACTACCATAGGCAGGAGATGAAGGAGGAGGAGGAGGAGGACGAGGACGAGGAGGAGGAGGAGGCCCTCCCCATCCTCCCTTCTCCCCCGTCCTACCTGTGTATGGTAGTGGTGGTGGAAAATTGGCCCATCACCTCCGCCACCCGTGTGCGTAGGAGGGGTGTGCACCAGCACGGCGCGTGCAGCATGCGAGCGCGTCGGACCTCTGGCGTGCGAACTGCGCGGCCGAGCCACGCCCGACGTCGCCAGCCGACCTCCGTGGATACCGGGTGCGGGCGCAGCGTGAGGCGCAGGTCGGGCACGGTGAGCTGCTGCTCGTGCGTGACGCCGACCCGCTGCGCCAGTACTCCGCCCAAGGAGAGGGAGGAGAGGGAGGAGAGGGAGGAGAGGGAGGAGAGGGAGGAGAGGGAGGAGAGCCTCAGGGAGGTCCCCGGAGAGCTCCAGGGGGCCTCCTGCGGCCCAGGCAGCGTCCGGGACGTGAGCAGAGCGCGCAACACGCCATCCTCGAGAAAGAGGGCGGGGGGGCCCGCTCGCCGTCCCCCACCCCCTCGTACGGGCTTCTCGGGCACGTGCTGGGCGGCGCGCTTCCATACCCCTTTCTGCGTGCACATCTCCTCTGCCTGACGAGCACGGGCAAGGCGAGGAGGAAGGCAGGGAGGGAGGGAGGCAGGGAGGAGGGCACGGACGGGGACGACGAGGAGCTGGAGGAGGAGAGCAAGGAGCTGCCGCGGCGCACCATGCGAAAGTAGCCCTGCTCGCCCCACTCCGTGCCCCAGCTGTTCTGGAGAACCCAGTACGCGTGGCCTCGCGACGCACCGCGGGGCCGGCTCCCTGCTCCATCCTCCCTCCCCATCGAACACAACATGCCCCAGCAGAGGAGAAGGAGGATGAGGAGGAGGAAGAGGAGAAGGAGGAGGAGGAGGAGGAAGGAGGAGGAAGGAAGAAGAGGAGGAGGAAGAAGAGGAGGGGGAGGAGGTGGAGGAGGAGGAGGACGAGGAGGAGGAGGAGGAGGAGGAGGAGGAGGGAGGATGGAGGGGGAGGAGAAGGAGAAGAGGAGGAGGAGGAGGAGGACGAGGAGGAGGAGGATGAGGAGGGGTAGGAGGAGGGAGGAGGGAGGGGGGAGGAGGAGGAGAAAAAGGACCAGTGGAAACCCAAACATCACGAACGATATTGGAATAGACCCTCACTCCAAGCTTCCTTGTCGTAGGCCCCTACAACGGCTACTTTCCGCTGAGGGAACTGCCTCCGTTGGGAGGCAACGGTTTGAAAACCCTGAAGCATGCCAAAAACATGTTCTCGGGATTCCAACGCCACGGATCAACTTGACTGTTGCGTCTTGACGATCTCGGATCGTGCCAGAACACAATTGCTGGGACTGCAACACCACGAACCAGCGTAACTGTTGCACCCGCGTAATCCTGAATCCTTCCAAAACACAGTTTCTGGTTTGATGACCATGGGAAACAGTGGAACGTTTTCACAATTGGACGACTGTGCGTGGCGCTAAGGCCAGAACCACCAATTGAAAACGACCCACCCCCAATCCGTGAAACTCTTGCAACATGTTGCAACGAATGAGCGCGATGCGAAGGCGAGAGCCACATTGCAAAGAAAACACCCGCCCCCCAGTGTGTTAGACTCTGGTAGATGTGTAAAGCGAATGTGCGCAACGCTAGAGCGAGAGCCACATTTTCAAAACCACCCGCCCTCCATCTGTGAAGCTCTTGTTTGAAGCTTCAGAACCACAAATGGTGAGGACGACTCCGGCGAAACGCACGGACCGCCCTGAAGCCTCGGGGTGCGGCAGGGAACAGTGATTGACAAGCGAAACGAATGGAGGAGGAGGAGGAGGAGGAGGAGGAGGAGGAGGAGGAGGACTCCTTCTCCTCTTCCTCCTCCTCTTCCGCCGCCGCCGCCGCGTGTGGTTCAGGGGGAGTTGGCAACGCCACGTCGTGGTCCAACTGCTGAGCACCCTCGGGCCCCGCTGTGCAGCCGGTGGTGATTACGCAGGAGCCCCGCCGAGGCGTGCCGGGAAAGCGCCGCCTGTGTCCTTCTATTTCGCCTCTTCTCCAGGATGCTCCTGCCTTCTCGGAGCCGGGCTGCGGCAGCGATCCCTCCTCCAACCCCCCTCGTTCCCCCTGCCCTCTCACATCCCCCGCCTTCCGCTCCCACCTTGAACCCACCCCAATGTCCTCTGTCTCTGCCTCCATTCTCCTCCCTTCCCCACTTCTCCTCCTCCTCCTCCTCCTCCTCCTGTTCCTGCTCCTTCTCCTCCTCCTCCTCCTCCTCCTCCTCCTCTTCCTCCTCCTCCTCCTTCTCCTCCTCCCTGCTCCCTCGTACTACTCCCCCCTCCCCCATTCCCATTTCCTCCCTCTGCCCTTCCCTTCCTCCCATCACCCTCGCTCCCTTCCCTCTCCCCTAAGACAGGAGGCAGTGGAATGAGTGTTGCAAGGAACGACGGGTTGGCAGATGAAGAGGAAGAGAAGAAGGACGGGAATGAGGAGAGGAAGCGGAGGAAAGTCGCTTTCGAGGAAGAGGATCGGGGAGGAATGTCGATACCAAAGAGGTTCATGGCAGGGAGGCTGACGAGAGAGGTCGAGAAATATGAATGGCACCGGGCTGTGAAAGTCGTGGAGGTAGGCTGAGTAGAGGTTCCAGAGTCCATGATGATCCCCTCTTCCCCCATTACTCCTCTTTCTCCTCATCCCTCTCTTCCTTCTCCTCCTCCTCCTCCTCGACTCCTTCTCGTCGAGATCACACTCGTACTCCCGCACCTGTTGTTTCCGCCTCCCTCCCTTTCCTCTTCCATCGTGAGTCTTTCACTATGTTCCATCTGCGCATCCTCAACTGTCTCCTCGGTCCTGGGTCCTCCAACTGCCCATGTTCTTCTTCTCGTACCCTTGAAGCCCTTCTGGGCTGGGGTACTCCAACAATGACGTCGCACACCAGAAATCACTCCGAAAGCTCCCTTGCCCCTGCTGGCAAGCCCGCAACCCCTCTTACACACGCAGTTCTAGCAAAGCTGAGTCTCACCACTTCTCTCAGGTAATACCACCAATTCTTGACATCTCACAGACCAGTGGTCTGAGGAACCGTGCGCACTCTTCGAATGCAGTGGCCTCTGCTGTGAATGACGAAATGAAGCAAATGTCCCTTCTTGTCCGCTTGCGTCGTCAATCTTCCACTCTCTTTGATCTGCACATCCTCCGCTGTCTCCTCCGTCCTGGGTCCTCCACACCCCCTCCCTCTTCCTCATCCTCCTCCTGATCCCCCCTCCTTCCCTCCTCCCTGCTTCCATCCTCCTTCCATCCTCCTCCTCCGTCATCCCCCTCCCCCCTCTTCCTCATCCGCCGCCTCCTTCTCCTCCTCCTCCTCCTCCTCCTACTCCTCCTCCTCCTCCTCCTCCTGCCTCCATCATCGTCCCTTCTCCCTCCACCTTCTTCTTCCCCCCCTCTCCTCCCTCCTCCTCCCTCGCCACCATCCTCCGCCTCCCCGGGCAACAACGCAGCCAGGGAGGCGGGGCACCCCAAAGGGCATCAATCAACCCTCGCAGAACCTTTGATCCTGGACCCTCGCCGGCAGCGAGACCACATTGGGGAGCAGGGGGGGTTGGCGGGCTGAGGGGCAACGGCGAGCCGCAGGGGGGGGGGAATGAGAAGGGGCGGGCCTTCTCAGCAGGCTCGGAAGTCCTCCGGCCTTCCGAGAAGTTGTCCAAGCCTTCCCAGGGGACGCAAAGAGAGCTTCTCAGAAAGCCGGAGGTCCTCTGAGCATCCCGGCCGCCTTCTGAGAGGGTCTTCTCCCTCTTACTTCCCTCCCGCTCTCGTCCTCCTCCTCCTCCTCCTCGTCCACCTTCTCTCGTCCACCTCCTCATCCTCCTCTCGTCGTCGTCCTACTCCTCCTCCTCCTCCTCCTCCTCCGCCTCCGCCAGTAGAGGAAAGGAAGCGAGGTCCCTCAGTCTCTTGGAAACGGGAGGGGGCCCATCGGAGAGAACCCTTTTTGTCTCCCTGCCTGGGTTGGCGAACCAGGCAGGGGCCAGCGACAGGGCCCCCCCCCCCCCTCAAACTGCATTACGGCTGCGCCTCGGAGGCGCGTACCAGTGCCCTCCTGCCGATCAATTTGCGATTGTGCGACGACGCACCCCCCCTCCTCTCCCTCCGACTCCACCGTCCTCCTCATCAGCGGCTCCGCGTCGCTCGCCGCCGAGAGGGGCAACGCCAGGGGGGGCCCTGACTCTGGGGGGAAGCGTCGACCTGGCATCGGCGAGGCCTCGCCGACACGCAGGCGGCTGGCCCAAGACAGCGAATCCCCACGCCCCTGGGCCGGGTGGGCTATCAGGCCCTGGCCGGCGATGAGTGGACCATTCGGGGCCGATGATTGGGGAACGAAGAATGACATAAACATACATAGCACCCCGCAATTGCGGATAAGAGTGAGGGGGCGGGCGCGGGCGACGCGGACGTCGTCGAGCCGGCGGACCTCGTGGCCCCCACCTTCCCTGTCGGTGGCGCTCTCCTCTTCCTCCTCCTCCTCCTCCTCCTCCTCGTCCTCCTCCTCCTCCTCCTCCTCCTCCTCCTCTTCCTCGTCCTCGTCCTCGTCCTCGTCGTCATCGTCATCCTCCTCCTCCACCTCGTCCTCCTCTTCTTCCTCGTCCTCCCTCTCCCCCCCCGTCCTTCCATCATCGTCCTCCCATTGTCGTCCACCCCCTCATCGGCCTCCATCATCGTCCTCCCATTGTCGTCCATCACCATCATCGTCCTCCCCCTCCTCCCCCTCCTCGTCCTCCTCCTCGCCCTCCTCCCCCTCGTCGTCCTCCTGCTGCTCCTCCTCCTCTTTCTCCACATTATCCTTACATCCTCTCTTCTTTCGCGTCCTCCTCGTCCCCTGTTTACTCCTCCTGCCTCCCCCTCCTTTCCCAAGATAACGGCAACGCAATCCTTTTGTCCACTTTATGCTCCCCGACTTCTCTGATCAAGGCAACTCGCCAGGTCAAAGTTGCTGGACGGGCTGGTGTGGATGCGCGGGGCTTGAAGAGGTCGTTGCAAGCGCAAACGGCATGCAAAAACCTGACCGCACAAGAACGGGAAGCGCCGTTTTTCCTCATAGCAGTGTTTGTCGTCAAAGCTCTGGACGCCAGCGTTCGTACTGGGAGCTCTGGCGTTCGAAGCTGCCCACGTCATCGTTCGTAATGGAGCCTTGGGATGTCGTGGTCGGTCTCTCGTAGGCCTCTTAGAAGCAATTCTGAAGCCTCTTGGGGGCCGTTTTTGGGGGCCGTCTTGGGGGCATCTTGGGGGCCTTTTGGGGGCCTCTTGGGGGCCTCTTGGAGCGTCTTGGGGGGCTCCCGGGGGCCTCCTGGACCCTCCGGGGGGGCACTTGGGGCCGAGGACCCGAAAAGTCCGCTTCGTGTACTCGTCTGGCCCCATCTAGGAGCCATTTATTGGACGGCCCTTGGGCGCCGCGAAGCCCTTGGGGGGCCGTCTTGGGGCGCCTGGGGGCCTTCTGGCTGCCTTTTTGGGCGTCTTGGGGGCCTCTTGGGCAGTCTTGAGGGCGATATTTGGGGCCTACTGGGGCCGGCTTGGGGCGATCTTGGGGGCCTCTTGGGCCGTCTTGGAGCGTCGGGAAACGGAAAAGGCGAGAACCCCAAAAACCTTCAAAAACTATTCAAAAATCAAAGATGTGTGCCTCTTTGGCGCTCTTGTGAGGCCTCTTCGAAGCCTCTTGAGGCGTCTTGGAGGCCTCTTGAGGGCCTCCTGGGCCGTCTTGGAGCTCTCTTGGACCGTCTGGACGCCATCTTAGGGCATCTTGGAAC